AGTATGAGCGAGCGGCTCTCGCTCGCTGGGCTGCGGCTCCCGCTCGCTGGGCCCCACAGATGGATGATCCGGAGGCGAAGATGGTGATGCGGTGTACGCAGGCGGGGAAGGTGAAGGTAGAGCCGGTGAAGAAGATGGCCGAGGGGTGACTACATGCAGATGAGATGATGACGGCGCTACATCCACAGATGGTGAAGCCGCCAGCGGCGCGGAGACTGCTGAATGAGGCGACGCTAGTCGTACTGTAGGCCGGCTTGCAGCAGCGTCAGCGGTGTCACCATCCACTGAAAACAAAAAAGCAGATGGGGTGAGAAATGAAAAAGTGTCCTTATTACTCACCACAGCCGGTTCTTGAGATGTCCGGGAGGGCGGCTGCGGTGAGGAACGCCGGCGGCGCGAACGTCGTTTCCATGTAGACGTCGGGGCCGGCGTCTCAGGCTGTGAATCCACCAGCTGTCCGGGCCGGTGAGCAGCCTGAGGAGGAGAGTGGAGGTGGAGGGTGGAAAGCAGGAAGTCCAGGACTACTGAATTAAGGGAGTCCACCAACCAGGGGAATTCAAACAGCATCCCCTGCAGCCGCCTCTCCACGGCGCGACGCAACCCCTCCGTGGGCTTCTCCCACCACAACTCACACATGCGGTAAACCTTGTCCATAACCTCCCCCCTGAGCCTCTCCTCAGAGACCGCTGGGTCCATACGTGGCGCTGTAAACTGAGCTGAAGGTGGCCGCTGATCGGCTAACCGAACTGAAGATGGCTGCTGATCAGCTAACTGAACTGAAGGTGGCTGCTGATCAGCTGACTGAACAAACATAGCCCCAGAATAAAGAGTTCTAGACGAAACAGTCTTGATTCCTGGATTTGAAAGAACGTCAGGCGCACAGTCTTCTGAACCTATGGGAGAATAATCGCTCTTAAAACGAAAACTTCTATTTTCCCAAACCGGAGAAACACGAGCTGTAGTGTTCATGAAGCTGGCGGAATGTGACGAGGGCGGATTTTGATGTGGCTGCTCCTGCAGTGATGTGGGAGCGCTGGGTGTGTCGGGTGGCACGAGAATAATCCCTAGCATCTTATAGAATGCCTGAGCGGGCGTAAGCTGATTGCTGTCAGGCTCATAGTAATCCTCCCGGGACCGGCTAGGGCGTTCTCTGCGAGACCGAGGCGTCCGCGGAGAGGAAGCAGACGAGTGGGCCGAAGGGTAGGCTGCCAGCGAGGAACGGCAGCACGGAGGCCCTCCAAGCACTAGTCGGGTCCCGTCAAAACGGGAGCTGCGCTTCCGCGGTGAGTCCGCTGGGTCCATAGTGGCTGGATCCTTCTGTCACGGGCTGCGATGGCAGACCGTGGAGTGACAGTGAAAGCAGGGCCCAAACGCGAGACTCTAAGTGAAGGACAGTGGATTTATTTACAGGAGGTGAAAAACACACAACTATATACAAAATCCCAGCACTGTGGTCCCGTGGTGATTCTCCCTGAATCCCACACAGTGCAGATGTCCGTGAGAAGTGAAAGGTGGCGACTCCAAAAAACTCCAATTCCCACACCGTGACTTTAGAGGCGTACTCCGCTCCCGATTCCTGGTAACACAAAAGGCAGAGGGTTAGCAGGGGATCTGTTTCCTCGGAGGTTACGTAAAAGCTCACGGCAGTACTGACGAGTTCTGACTCAAGGATCCAGCGTCGGCCTCAGCTCAGCTGCAGTCCTAAATGCCGTTCCTAGACGAGCGTAATCTGCTGCAGCTGGCAGAGGACGACAAGCGGCAGGTGCGGCTGTCTCTCGAGTAGACCACTTCCGGGTTCGCAGTCTCCTCAGCGAACCCACACCTCCGGAAGCTCACACAGAGACACATGGAGAGACACATGGAGAGATGGAGAGCAAACCAATACAACACACGGAAAACATAAACATACACTGACAATGCCTGAGTCAATGCCATGACAGTAACATAAGCTCAACATTGCGCCTAGCATCCTGGGGCACTTCTGTTGTCTTTTGTACGTGTTTTGAGTTTTTATGTGCTTCTGAGTTTTTACGTGTTTTGGAGTTTGTTCGTGCTTCAGGGTTTGTACGTGCTTAGGAATTTGTACGTGCTTAGAAGTTTGTACGTGTTTTGGAGTTTGTACGTGCTTCAGGGTTTGTACGTGCTTCAGAGTTCGTACGTGTTTTGAAGTTTGAATGTGCTTTGTCTGTAGGGGCCACCATAAATATACCTTTATTTATTCACTCCACATAAAATGTAATAAATAAATAAATCATATAATACAAAAATCAACTATTTACATTTCAACTTTTAACTATTTAAATTTTCAGCTTTTTGAAACAACACAAAACACTGCAAACCACAACACAATTAAATATAAATTATAATATGAAAACAAAAAGAACATGCATATTCTCTGTCATATGGACCTGCATGAATAAACTTTCTGAATCCTTTATCATCTGCAATTGAAAATAGTTGTGGATGATTACTATACCTTTCTAATCTGACGTTGTTGTGCCTGGCTCTTTCTGTCTCTCCCTCCTGTTCTGTTCCTGTGCTACTGAGTGTAACTACCGCCTTCCCCCCTCTTCCCAGCGTAAAGCACAAGGCTCGCATGCTGAGTGAAGCGGCAAAAAAGTGCGAGAGAGGCTGAGAGAAAGAAGAAAAAAAAACCACGGCTCGCGATAAGGAGCCGGCTTGCATCGTTCACGTCAAAGACCCGGCTCTAAGAGCCATTTCGTTCGCGACCAACCCATCACTAGTTCACAGAGTGCCCATATAGTATAAACTGTGAATTCATCAGCAGGTTATATGAGAATTTTTCTGCTTCTCCCACTCTGTTTATAGTTGGTTAGGGCTGCCATGATTAGTCGACTGTCAAAATCGTCAACAAGTGATTTAATAGTCGACGCATCGTTTGAAGCTTTGTAAGATCACAAAAGACGCAGGAATAAGTAGTAGGATTTAAGAGTGTAATAACGGACTGAAACAGAAGATGGCAGCACTGCATGTACAAGGATGCCAGCTGCCGTTAAACCCCGAAGAAGAAGAAGTAGCTCTGTCCCAGAATTCATAGCGCGGCCCAGCTCAGTTTCCAACAATGGCGGCAGCTAGTTTGGCCCTGCGACAGACTGGCGACCTGTCCAGGGTGTACCCCGCCTCTCGCCCCATGACAGCTGGGATAGGCTCCAGCGCCCCCCGCGACCCTGGAAAGGATAAGCGGAAGCGAATGGATGGATGGAATGGCGGCAGCTAGTTAGTTTTAATATTACTCTTATTATTCTTTCTGGGTCACAAAATAAACGTTTAACATATTTTCAGGCGAGAATGTAGCTGTGTAAACCTCAAATATCTGCTCAGTTTATCAAGACACCACATATTTTCAAAAGCGCTCCGACGTTTTCGGAGACGTCTGTTACCCACTAGCTCGCTAGAGCCGTGAGAACACCGGACTCCCGGCAAATCGTTTTCAAACCCACCGCCGTCTTTCGCTACTCAGGTTAAACATATATAAGTCACTTAGATAACTTAAAATGTTATTGTTTGGCTTTTTTCAGTATTTTATTTGTTCCTGAGTAAATCGGTTTGGCTGAGATTAAAGTTATAGTTTTTACACAGCTGAATAAACGTCAAGCAGACAACTGATTATCAGAAGTGTGAGATGCTCGAGAATATACTCCGGTGTCCTGTTATATTTTAGATAGCAAGGAGCAGACGGCTGAGTTTATTAAACTTCACCAAAACAATCTGCAAATTTCATTAAAATTTAATAAATTATCATCTTGTCTTTATTTTTAGTTAGCACATACCTTAAACCAGCGGTCCCCAACCTTTTTTGCGCCACGGACCGGTTTATGCCCGACAATATTTTCACGGACCGGCCTTTAAGGTGTCGCGGATAAATACAACAAAATAAAACTAGTACCGGTACCGAAAAAAAGAAAATTTATTCATAACACACGTGAAAAGACCCAGGAAAACCGAGTAAACAATAAAAACGATAACAAAATAACGCTGAAAACCGATAAAAACCCTGAAAACTATACATTTCACACCTGAGCCTCAACTCTCGCGGCCCGGTACCAAACGACTCACGGACCGGTACCGGTCCGAGGCCCGGGGGTTGGGGACCGCTGCCTTAAACACTTAAAGCTGTAAGCTAATGATAGTTATATAAGAGCAGATGCATGCTGGTGCAATAAGCTGTACGTTTTACGTCCAATGGATGCATGATCTGATTAGTCGACTAATCGCAAAAATAATCGGTGACTAGTCGACTATCAAAATAATCATTTGTGGCAGCCCTATAGTTGGTCCACTCTAGACCTCCCATTCATTTAAATATAAAGAAATTTGTTTTCTGACAAATTATTAAATAATTCAAAAACCTGCAAGCTGATTTGTTACAAGAGCAATGTCTTTACAACAAGTGTTGCTGGAAGAGAGATCAACTGAGAAAAATAATAACAAAACACATTTAACCAAGTATAACACATACTGGGAATGTTTGCTCACTGGTATGTATAGTGTTTGATTGTAAAGGGACCAGGCTGTGTTTGAAGTGCAAAGCAATCTGTCAAAATACTTTTCTTCTTTCCCTTTCTTTCAGTGACAGGTTCCTTGCTGTAACAGTTATGCAAATTCATTGCTGTGCAAATGATGAATATATTCGTACACAGCTAACCTTCATCATTAATAAAATAAAATAAAAAAATATATTTACAAAGCACTGACTTAGCTCTGAAATAATGTACATAGTACAATCCACTCCAGACTGGGATCAACTTGTTTTTTGTTTGTTTTTTTCAATAAGATTAGACATGGTGGAACATTATCTATGAAAGCTGCAGGTCTATTGTGTACATTTTCTGAACAGAAAGTAGCTACAGTTGCCTTTATAAGACATTCGTGCTTTGACTTTTTTCCCCCTAACCGCTAGAAAATGGCTATGAAATCATATGAATTCCAGGGTTTTCTTCCTAAATTTTCGTCCTATGAGCTGATCTTTCTGCATGTATCATACAATATGACTACAAATCGAATAGTTTGAAGAAATTAAAATTTAACCGTGGGACATGAGCACTACCTGCTAGTTTGAAAAGTTAAACTTTGGTGAGGAAAATAAAAGAAAGTCTGAATTCTTGGACAACATAGTCTGTTTTGGTGAAATGATTTTGCTTTGCTCAAAAGGGATCTCCACAGTAAATGCTAAAGATGTTGGGTTACGATTTTAGATATGAAAGCCTGTAGATACACCAAGACACTGGGTAACAAGAAGTAGGAATCTTCCCACATGATTTCATTTTTTACTCACAATTAACACAGCAGGTCCTCAGGAAGAAATAAGCATGCAGGGGCTTTACCTGACTTCCATCAAGTAGAACACCTCAGGGCATATTAAAATGAAACGTGTGGGAACACAGCCCACTCAACAACGAGCAGTTGAAAATAACTGTCTCTGAGAGATAGCAGGTAGTATATTGTTACATTTTAACTACCTGTACTAACGTTAATAAACGTTTTGCTCTTTTATCTTTTTCAGCCATCATCACAGAGCTCTACTCTCTGTAATACTAAAACTTACTCCAAGTCAAAAATAATCCAAGTAACTAGAGAGAAAAATGGGATTTTCACAACTTAAAGGCTTTTGCAGGTGATTCATTGTGGTTTAGCTTGTATGAACTGTTTTAAGTAAGACTCTTACTGTTTCGCAAATCTTATCATGACTTGAGCAATGCCGCAAAGTTGGAAACCATAACATCCATGTTTTTGTCTTCGCTGTTTTAGTATGTTTGTTGGCTCTGACATCTGTGGTCATGAAGTCATTTGAGCGCCTAGTTCTCTCCCATCTCAGGACCCTCACGGCCCCCCTCCTGGACCCCCTGCAGTTTGCATACAGAGCCAACAGGTCTGTAGATGACGCCATCAACATGGCCCTACACTTCATCCTGCAGCATCTGGACTCCCCAGGAACCTACGCCAGGATCCTGTTTGTGGACTTCAGCTCTGCCTTCAACACCATCCTTCCAGACCATCTCCGAGGCAAGCTTTCCCAGATGAATGTGCCTGATCCCATCTGCCGGTGGATCACTGACTTCCTGACGGACAGGAAGCAGCATGTGAGGCTGGGAAAGAATGTCTCGGACTCCCGGACCATCAGCACCGGCTCCCCTCAGGGCTGTGTTCTTTCTCCTCTGCTCTTCTCCCTGTACACCAACTGCTGCACCTCCACCCACCAGTCTGTCAAGCTAATCAAGTTTGCAGATGACACCACCGTTATTGGGCTCATCTCGGACGGGGATGAGTCTGCCTACAGGAGGGAGGTTGAACGTCTGGTGTCCTGGTGCAGCCACAACAACCTGGTGCTGAATGCCCAGAAGACAGTGGAGATTATTGTGGACTTCAGGAAGCACACAGCCCCACTCCCCCCCATCATCCTGACTGACACCCCCATCACCTCTGTGGACTCATTCCGCTTCCTGGGTACCACCATCACCCAGGACCTGAAGTGGGAGCCCACCATCACCTCCGTCATCAAGAAAGCCCAGCAGAGGATGTACTTCCTGAGGCAGCTGAAGAAATTCAACCTGCCAACACGGACGATGATGCAGTTCTACACTGCAATCATCGAGTCCATCCTCACCTCCTCCATCACCGTGTGGTACGCTGGAGCCACTATCAGGGACAAACAGAGACTGCAGCGTGTTGTGCGCTCTGCTGAGAAGGTGATTGGCTGCAGACTCCCATCTCTGCAGGACCTGTACACCTCCAGGACACTGCGGCGTGCAGCTCGGATCTCAGCTGACCCTTCTCACCCTGGACACAGTCTGTTTGACCTGCTCCCCTCAGGCAGGAGGCTCCGGTCCATTCGCACCAGAACCTCTCGCCATAAGAACAGTTTCTTCCCCTCTGCTGTTGGACACATGAACAATAACCTATATGACTGT